TCAACATATTGTTAGAATCCGATACAACAAACAGTACAAGGTCCTCGAGTAACGAGAGAAACATAAGTAACAACCAATAGCAGCACATTACCGCAGATTTTTAGTGAATCAAAATCGATTAAAGTTACGGAGACGAACACTGTACAAAGTCTCAAACTGCAAAAACAAACAGTATACAACCACACTATTGCAATTCACCAACCAAACGTTTCACTGTTTCATAAACTTCCCGACGCAAACAACGACCACCAAGGTGGTACACGGTCGTAACATGTTGCTTGTAGGCTTGTTCCAGAACAAATGCTCGGATGCCGGATAAAGAGCGACTTCCATCACTGGCTTCCAACAGTTGATTGGCGATGTCCAAAAGCAGGGTCTCCATATCGCAGTTACCTATTCCTAAGGTACCCGTGTGCCGAAGTGGAATAGGTGGGTTAGTCGGTCGATGGAACCAGACATCACTGTCCTCATTTGTCGAGATCTTGCCTTCTGCTCGACGGCGGAGATCCTGAGAGGCCAACGTCACAGGCTGATCGTCCACGGGTTCACTTGCAGTTGCACCCACTGCTCCACTGATAGGTCTCCACGGACACTTTGCTCCCGATGCCAAAGGACACTGTTTTCCGTGTGGGCACATGTGCGACGTCATTGCAGATAGATGCAGAAGTCCTGAATTTAAGGAAAGGGGTTTGGAGTATGGCACTCTTATATCGCTGTCTGTGTCGCAATAAACGTAGTGTTTCATGGACAGAACACGTAACGCTGCCCAGACGAGCGTGTCGTGCGCAGTCAGTCCATATCCAAATACTGCAGCCAATGACCCATGACCACGTACGAGTCCCGGTAGTACAGTCCGCTACATATGATGTCATATGACCTTTCATGTCCAGACAGGCGCTCATTGTACACTGGACGTGTACCATGCCTCAGACGTGTACCGTCCACCAGACACGTTTAATCTTAGTGCACGTTACCAATTCGTTCTGGAGTCTCATTCTGCGTTTCTTGTCGCGACACCTACTTTCAATTGTTCGATCTCCTGAATTTGTTCTCAACATGGAGTACTTAGATTCCATCTCAATGGATCTGCTTAATATGAACCCGTTGGACTGGTGGCCGGACCATAGTAGCTCTCCATCCATAAGCCAGGGAAATACAACGTCGGTTATGCATAATTCTTCCCTTTCGCCCAAGAACGGAGACGCTTATCTGCCCTTCTTCAGGAGTGATGGTGAAGTGCTTACACACTACGCGCCGGTCAGTAAAAGTCATGGAGAATATGAGGCGCCGGTGATTACTATTCCTGAGGCAAACGGTGGAACTGTATCTGCACAGGTGGGCGGAGCCGAGATATCTGATTCTTCAGTTCCTGATATCTTTTCTATGACCAACGACGAGTTTGCGGAATGGCTGACTTCGACCGCTACTGCTCCGAATGTTGTTCCGGCTCCTTCCTCGATTGGGATTAATGAATCATATGTTGGGTCACCACCGGACAACAATGCACACACGACCGGGAATTCTGGCAGTTGGCTTACCGACTACAGTACTCCACCTTTTGTACAATCGGTTGTACAGTATACTGATGCTGCTCAGCCCATTCCAGCCCAAGTTACTCGTGAAGAGGGAGATCCTGCCGAGCTGTTGCGGTCGTTTTTAGGTCCCAACGTATTGACTGACCTAGTCGAGCATCAAACCGTGGTTGCGTCCTTGAAACGACGAGCGCCCGATCTGGATTGCAAAGCGCTGAAAAGTGTGGGTGGACAAGAAACCCCAATATTCTGAAGAGAAAGTCCACCTTCAGTTCGGTACGAGACGCGGTTATATGTGCTTAACCATTCAGGAATTTCGAATCCTCGCGACGTACATTTTATCTGCCGAACTTCTGTTGGATCTGGACAAACTGAAGAAGAACGCTGGTCAGAAAAAGGTACCGACGGACGACTATCGCCCAATCAGCGCCACCCTACGTGCGGAATGCGTACGAATGAATGACCGCCACGAGACGACGGATCAGTTCGGAAAGGTCACAGGAATCGGTACACCTTATCTCCGCCTAATCAGGTTATCAGAGCAAGGAAATTTCGCCCGTACACTTAAAATTAACAAGGCTGGGATAAAAGCCTTTCGTTCCCAGCAAACAGTTATCGAGAGCATGATTGTGTACAAGTACGATGTGCCTAAAAAAGTGTTGTAACATTTGTTTTTGCTTATGGTATTAGTTTCAGAAGTGTTAATTAAACTGATGAGCTGATTTTTTAAGTACATTTTTGAGCGTTTGTATTACCAAGACCGGTATGGGTGTTTTGCTTCTCAATGTAAGATGATAACTGCTAGTTTGACCAGAAATAAACCTAAATAATGCGGTAGGAACCCTGTGTCGATACTCCTGCACCACGTCAAAACAATCGTTTCGACCTACGCGTTACCGTGCACTGCAAGCCGTGGCCATGAGCTGCTACTGTATGTTTTTGTCCGTATCAAACGGAAGTTCTGTGTAGTGCGTCGCAACACAGCGTAAAAAAATGGGTTTGTTTGCAGAGCAAACGCAGCACGTTGTATTCTCCAAGCGCTGTTTGCGAACTCAACTGACAACCAAACATAACTGATAAATATGCAGAATACACAGGCATTACGTAGAAAAACAAAACACGAAACTTAATAAAGTGATACGCTGCACCAGGCGCTTAAGGCAGAAGAGAGAGACAGCTGGACTGTAATGCGCTGCTGCTGCTGGTTGAGCAAGCACGCGCAAATCGAGGCAACGTGGAGTACCCATTCCAGTGGATGTGCACGTTCAGATTGCCCATTTCACTATGAGCGACTGAACACGCACTCATTCCTCATTTGTATCTACACGGTTCTAAACGGGTTTTTGTCGAGTTACTTTACTTTGTGAAACAACATTTACTATTCAGTAATATGGACAAAGTTGACGGGTGTGCCGTCGGTGCCCACAGGGAAGCGGAACGCGAGTGGTTCTTTGCGTACCGCAAGTATATTGAGCAAGTATATTGAGCGCTGTATTTCTGCCTCGGCGAACGAAGTTGTTCCTTTACCACCTGCCGACTTGGGACTGCGAGCTAACCACGTTTTTTGCGGAACTGCAGGCTGCCACATCTGTGCGCTGCTGTTTGGTAGAGGTACCCAACTGTCGTTGAGCTTTTCTGTTACCGCATTTGCTTACTGTAAGTGTCGCTGTACGATCTTGTCTGGTTTTTGCTGTTGTTTAGCCTTCTTCAGCTTCGACACGGCAGAAGACCTTCCAGACGAGTACCAAAGTGTGAAGGAGCGGATGCTGACCACAGAAACGGAAATAGTTGGATACTACACTCATCGATTTGGGTTCATCGCGCACCGTACGTGGGGTTTGTGCAGAACACGTGAGCACCCGACGCAGGAATTCATTGTAGGCATTGCGAGCGGCGATCTTGTGGAAGCGCATGTTGTTCACCCGGATGAACCCATTGTGTTTGGCAACCACAATGAAAACCAGAAGCTTTGGTACGACAACAATGAGTGGTACCTGCGAAATGCTATCGAGGCGCCTATTGGAACCGTGGTTGGGTATCCACCATCAGCGGTTGATTGGGTCCCCGACCACAATGCGTACTGTGGAGTACACGGCTGCCACGTTTGCGCCTCGATGTTTGCCACTAGTACGTAATGTGTCAAATTCTACTTTAAATATTCAACTGTTCAAAACGTTTCCTTAAAAGCAGTTCAACTTCATCATCAATTCAACGTTAACTTGGATGTTGACATTGATCCGGTCAAAGACCGTATGCTGAGTGCGGAGTTGGCTGTAGTGGAGCCATACAGCAAGCGGTTGTTGGTCTTTTACGAGCGTAAGCCGACCAGAACATGTTTTGTTTTCGTTTAGCATTTGGTGATGTTCGCAGGAATCGGTAACGAAGAGATTTTTAAAGAACCAGACGACAACGAGATGCCGCTGGGATTTGCAGAAGTTGTAGTTGATGGCGGTGCTATCGAGCAAGCGGAACACGAACCGTTAAGTGAATCCACTGAAGAAGAGGCTGCACAAAGTGAAGAGGAGGAGGAGAGCGAAGACGAACCACCTGACAGCTCCTCTTCGAACGAATCTATCGAAGAAGAAGAAGACGTTGAATTCTTCGACTCAGGATATGCCAGTTTTCTGGTTCCCCCTGAAGATTCGGACGAAGAAGTGGAATAAGCCTGTCTACTAGAATTGATTAACCGCCATGCGCGGATGGTTAGTACAAGCAGTGAATCTGTTTTTTTTAAATACACCCATAATAACTTACACACTTTAGTTGGAAGGTGATGAACGCTTCCCTTTTTGTTCTTGCGATGGGAAAGTCGTGTGTGAAGCAGACAGCGGTGTTTTTGGTAGATTCGAAGTTTTAAGTAGATTCGAAAAGTTTCCGTCCTGACTTATTTTTTGTGAGAGAAGCGCATTTACTGGTATTGTGATTTGCGCTTCTTCTGGTTGAGCACCAGTGATAATTTGTCTTTCTGTTAATGGTGGAATACATACTTTGTGCCACTATCTTGTCGAAACGATAAGCAACAAGTCTTACTCTATCAAAAGATCTTCATTTCGGAAGTCACTAACAAGAAGAAAGAACCATTTTACATAACCGTACATCTTTTTATGAACAGAAGCTTATTGCTGTATCATCAACGATGCAGAAAGAATTACATCAATACCAAAACTGACAACAGGTAAACTGTAATAGAGATGATTATCTGCATTCCAGCAGAAGCGTTACAAAACAGACCAGTTTGGAAGTGATTAGGATATCTGTTCACTGAAACACTTCGTTAAAGCCGTCATCCTCATCCGTATCGGTGATGTCGTCAGCGCAGTTCATTCCACAGTCTTCATTCTCCTCTTCATCGCTATCCGTGGTGTACAAATACCACGCCTTCACCTTTGGAAACCATTCCCCCTTTTTCAGTAGGTACATACGATCAGTCTGGATCGGGTTTGCATCCAAATCCAAAACAACGAGATCTTACAACACCGACAGCGCCACCACCTCGGTCCAGTCCGCAATACGATTCCCAGCCAGTGACAGCTTTTGCAGCTTAGGACAAGCCTGTGGGATACGCTGCAACCCATCCTTAATTCCGTTGTCGTTGACAATTAAGACACGCAAATTCGGAAGAGCTGGCAGGTTGTCCAACGTATTCAAACCGCACTCCACCATCGCTAGCTTCTCCAGTTGACGGAATTCCTGAAGGGCGTTCAGACATTCGTCATCAGCTAGTCGTCCGTCCAGGACAATCTCCCGTGCGGTTCTGTCCTGGCGCCGCAAAAACTCCAAAGCACTCACACTTACTCGTCGAGAAAACATAGTTAGCAGTTTCGTGGTTAAGCTATCGAAAACCACGAAAATGTGTCACCTTTAAAAAATTAAAGTCTCAAAGGTAACTCAAGAATTAGCAATTTGAAAAATGCGTTCGGTGCATGAGACCGGACGACCAGCGCGCTTCAAGTTTCGGCAGACGTGTACTGTGCACGGTACACGTCTGAGGTCATGTGAGCGTTACTCACCGGTCACCAGACGTGTACCGTGGCACGGTACACGTGTGACGTCGACAAAACCTGTCGCTAAGTCGTAGCCATACTACTAACATGAGATGTAGACCAACCGGTATTAAATTTCTTGTGCCCGTACCGGTATTTTTTACCTACATAGTAAGTACAATCAAAGTTGGGAACGGCCAGCACCTTTTTCTTAATAAATTTATCTGGGAAAACAAAATAATACTAGCAATTGTCCAGTGATGATGGCCAATAAGCATTTATTTACAGAAGCGTTTGCAAATCGAAGTTGCACTTGCGCAATTGTTCTCTGTCCGTTCTTGCTTGTCTAGGCGTTTTCCATGTACTACATCAAGCTCCTTTATTAGCACAAGCCAGTCAAGACAGGGTAATTACCTAGTGTAGTGAAAAGAAACCACAGTACAAGTTAAGAATTACTGCGCATCAAGCTAAAACACTCCGTAAAAGGTCACCATCAGAAAAGAACTACAGAGGACTTTTCGCTTGCCTTGTTTCAGTAAGAGAAGTGACTGCTCTTGATGTTACGGTTGCCTTATTGCATGAACAGCATAGATTTTGCAGAAATGGTACATTTCTGCAAAATGCTATCATAATGTAACACTTCTGCAAAATCTATTCAGTTCGTGCCAACCGACGTTCCTTTGCATCCACTCGAAAATCTGCGGTAGTTGATTATCCATGTACTCCGCTGGATAATTATCCACCATGCAGAAGCCACAAAGTAAACGGTACGTTTTCTTTCTTGTGTTCATCGTCGTTTTGTAGTCACTAGTAAGTCGCTACGATACGCGCACGGTCGTCACCTTATGCGGCGCCCTAATTTTTTATGAATTCTACAGCTAATTGTCTAAATTCGTCAGCTGCTCTACCAAAGCAATTAAATATTGAATTCTTGTTTATATCCCTGCGTTTAATTGTGGCAAACGCGTATCCAGACCAGATCTGCAACACGACCTATTTCGTCCCAATAATAAAACCTACTCAGTCCTACTGGCTACTGACTACAAAAAAAAAACATATCGCCTTTAGTTTTAACAGGGGAATACATTGATTTCGATGTAATCACTAATCAACATCCAACATAAGAATATCGTAGTTACTAACTATGTAGCCGTTGCAAACGTAATTTCTGGTGACGATGAATGAACGAAAGAGGCAGCGAAATTTCGCCATAATGTGTTCTGTAACATCAGCAGATACTGGTCCTTTGCATACATGCCAAAGAGCAGTATCGTTGACTTTGCAAAACACTAGTGCAGTCATTCCCGCAATGAACCATTATTTTTGTTGAATTTTAAAATAGGTTAACGTGAATCCGACACACGTTTTGATGATTGGGTATAACTGCTGTAGTTAGTCATATTTATACGCTTTCCGTTGCGGTGCGTTGCCTCGGCTGTCGATAATTTTATCATATGTTTTACCAGTAGCAGTGCGATTTTTTTGGCGAAACGAATCGCACCGCAACTGGTAAAGCGGATGATAACATTATCGCCATCCGATATTATACAGACTGCTTGCAATTAAGTACAAGTCAAGGACGCTCGTAAAGCGTTTGAAAAACGATGGTACAATTGCTCCTGAGCAAAGCCATGTTATGGTCCTTATAATCTCTGCAAAACCGCTGTCGAGTGCCGACCGAGACTGCATTTCACGCAAAAAGTGATTACGCAAAAACAGGCAAACTGGTTTAGGAAAATAATAAATTTTTGTAAAATAAAATGACGAATAAGTCTTTCTTGCCGGTTCTATGGATAGATTTTGTTCTCCGGCTAAAAATACCTCTCTAGCCTTTGTAGGCAGAGAAGTATTGGCATTTGATAAATTTCTACAAAATTTTGCGATTTCTTGCGGTCAGTTAACTCGTTTTGGTTTCATGCTGAAAATTTATTATGAAATTTATTATATATCATGAATTTACTTTTGTTTGCTTAGAACTTATAAAGTCTCATCAGTTCTTTAAATCTGTAGTGTTCAAGTCTAATACTTGGTCACCAGAATATGGAATTAAATTATATTGTTTGCTCAAAGTCTATAAATATTAGCACAAGTGAATTACTGTACGTACAGCGTCAATATCGCTAATCCAAAAATATAAATGTTGCAATACAGTCTACACTCAATGATAACTGATAATACTGTAAAATATCATATTTTGGCATTATTCGATGCGATTGCACAAGGAAATCCCGATAATCTGCATAATCGGTCGACCGATTACTATGCAGAATTGCAAATCCAGTCACCTTCTTAAATGAGCTACAGATACAACGGTTAAGAAGCGTTACCAGATAGCGAAAGTGAAGCAAAATGGATACAGTAGTACAACTACTGACCATGCTAAAAATCTCCGTCTGATGCCAGTCATTTGCATGGAACCATATTGTTCTGTTTAGACTTGCTGATAAAGAATAAGGACTAGTAGTGGCACCGGAAGCGCAAACCCCGATATCAGTTATTATTGTTGCGGCTTCCATTATTTAAGCGAATTATCACACTGACCCGCGTAGACAGTAAACAATAGTTGATAAGGCGTTTGTTGCTAATGGAATTGTCAGTTTACTGACCATGGTGTGACTGACCTACGTCTGCAGTATGAAAAATGGTTTATAAGAAAACAATTAAGTGATGAGACCGGCATTTTGAATCGGAAATTTTTTAAACCAGAAAAAATTTTGATTACGTTTTTATACCTTAAAAATTCGCTGGTTATTAATATGTGGCAGCCTGGTGGTAGTAAGTACGTCTGGCTTTAAGATTGTATGTCCTGGGTTCGGTTCCTACGTTGGGTACTTTTATCCCATAATATCGAACCAAAAGAAAGTATAAAATTTTGAAAATTACCGAAAAATTCTCCAATAGCCTGTTAAAGCCTCCGTTAAGGGAATTGGCCCGGTACATAGCACCAAATCTGTATACATCCAGGGCAATTTTCGCTGTCGCGCACTCCTAAACGCTTTTTCGCATTGCTCTATGACATCTTGTAGCCAAAGGATTTGTATACGTAGGCGAAAAAACTGTTTGTGCGCGCAACATCCGGTTCGGGAGTTATTAGTGAAATAAAATTCCAAAAGTTTAAACGCGCGGAGATAGTACCAAAAGTCTCATTATGATCCGATGCTCTTCAAATTTTGCACGAAAACGCACATTACTGTGAAGATCGTTTTGGTACCGAATCAGCTTTCTACTATTTTTTTCAAATTTTAAAATGAATTTCAAAAAACTTTAAAAATTAATTTTAAATTTGAAAAAAATGGGAGAAAGCTGCATGGTTCGGTACCAAAACGATCTTCACAGTAATGTGCGTTTTCGTGCAAAATTTGAAGAGCATCGGTTCATAATGAGACTTTTGGTACACCTCCGCGCGTTTAAACTTTTGGAATTTTATTTCACTAATAACTCCCGAACCGGATGTTGCGCGCACAAACAGTTTTTTCGCCTACGTATACAAATCCTTTGGCTACAAGATGTCATAGAGCAATGCAAAAAGTGTTTAGGAGCGCGCGACAGCGAAAGTTGCCGTGGATGTATACAAATTTGGTGCTATGTACCGGGCCAAATCCCGTAATATAGTTGCTATAGTCGTAACATTAGTAGCAATAATAATAATCTGGTCAGCTGCGGCTCGAAAAATATTACATGGTCGGTAAGGTTGTTGTGTAGTGCTTGACGGCGCACTCCGTAACTAAACCTAAACGATCCATATTTTATTCCAAAAGAATAAGAATAGTTCACAGTTTAGTACTGTATCATCTTAATCGTGATCAGATTCTGTTATTAAACATGCAAAAAAAACCTGAGCTCAACTAATTTTCGGGTCGACATCAGGTGAATTCACAAAGGAAATCCTGAACGCTCTGTACCGACGATCAACTCGGTGGACTGCACGATCCACTCGTGGAGGTGTCGGTGCGGACGGAACCAGACCTCCAGCTGACCGGAATCGCTCGGCTGGAGGTTGGTCAGGTTCAGGGCATACGCGACGCCGGGCTGCTTTGAGATGGGCCGCATCCACGCAGGCGTCCGCTCGGGGGTGGCTGTCGTCGACTGCAAAGTGTACTCCCTGGGCGCAAAATACGGTTTACCGTTGTACCGCAGCATGTAATGCTCGCCGATATTGGCCACGACCTCCGGCGCCAGCGGCCCTCGCACCATCCAGCTAATCTCCAAACTGCCCCCCGACGGCCACCCGCTGCTGCGGCGCCCAGGGGGTCTCGAAGATCTCGGCGGCCCGCGTGACGCGGGGGAGGAGCAGGGTGCAGCGGCGCAGCACCGTCTCCCGCAGGTGGCAGACAACCTCGCCGCTGGAGGCCAGGGAAACGTTGACCATACGCAGCAGGGCCACAGTGTCATTCGCTATCCACTGCGCGAATTCGTAATGCGGATGATGGGCCACCGGCGGAGCCCGCTGGACAACCGGCCGACCCTGGACGGTCCAGTGGAGGTCGGTGGGACGGCCGCCCACCGGCAGTTTGCAGCCAAAGGAGGCGTTCTGTCCCAGACGCGGACGCACCACATCGGCCGTCGTTGTCGCCGCTGACGGGAAGCGCAGTGTGACCAGGTCCTCTTCCTTCTTGATCAGATCCCGTTCAATGACGGCTTCCAGATCCTCCCAGGGCATTGGATCTAACAACCACTGACTTAAGGATCTGCTATTGTATAATAAAAAAATGCAAATAGCAGGCAGAGTATTTATCTTAGTGCTTAAATGCGCAGTGGGCGCGGTTTGAGGGTATGAACTATGTACAAGACGTACAATGTGTAGATGTCAAATACCGTAAAACAGAATTAAGTAAATTACTTATTCGACAGCAGCCATACTGCTGACGTGGACGGTACCTGTACTACTTGACGATGGGTCAGCGTTAGTAACCGCGGTCGTCGGCGTACTGCCCGCGCTGCAGCGAATCTCCACCTGCCATAAGCAGAGGCCGCACAGCAGCCAGGCGCGAATCGCAAATATCCGTGGCATGGAAGAGACAAGACTGGACCACATTTTTTCCGGGAACAGCAATGGCATTACATTCTGTCCGTTAACAATTCTTGGTGGACACTCGGGAGCCGCCTGCTGATAAATTCGCCGTCTCGTCTCGAATCTGCGCAATACTTACACGTTTACAACGACTAGCAGGCGAATCGGTTAACACGTCAGCGCTGCATACAGAGCATCGGTAATAATAATAATAAGAAGAAGTTTTTGATTATGAATATCGCTGTTAATACTTCATAATTATTATACTGTTCGTTGTATTGCAGCTACCAGTATTTTAAACCGATTAGGCCTTAGCAACGTATTACGTTGCTAAGCCTCCTGTCGATGAATACGTGGTAGTTGGTAGTCATTTGGTACTACAGATAAAATGGAAACACATGCTAGCAATAGAAAAAATGCACGTTGGCTTGCACTGGCAGACAAGAGCGCAGCAGCTTTTTGTCGGTGCGAGTTGGTATGCATTTTTATGTACTGCCAGAGTGCCAGTATTACTTACTCGTAAGTCCGCAACAATTAATTATTAACATATTACATAATATTAGTTTTACGTAAGCAACAAACCATGTACTCGTCGAATTGGTAGCCTCCCATTTCGCCTACGGGACATTTCGCCTACCGATTCGATTCGAATTATAAATAGTACTGTCTTGTTATTTTTTATTAAGTGTTTTTTATGCCTTCTAATCTTTTCTAGTATTTCTTAATGTTTCTTATGTTTTCTTATCATTTCTTAGGTTTTTATTCCTTATGTTTTAATAGCACTGGCTTCTTATTTTTATTATGTTTTTTATGTTGTCTAGCGTTTTCTTATGTTTTCTTATCTTTTCTTATGTTTCATTCTTAGGCTCTCTATTGTTTCCTCGGCATCACTTCGTTAATGTCATTCTCTCGATAGTTAAAGAAGAATTTTTAGATAACAAATGGAGTCAGAAAACAAAATAATTGTGAGGGGAAAAAACAGGCATAACCAGAACACGTCTTACCATGATAATTATACTACTGCACGTAGTACTGTATTTAGTAAGTACGTGAATTACATAAACAGGATTAGTTAGTCAGTTGGCAATAGGCACAAAGCTATACTATACAATTCTTGAGCGTCTTTTAGGACATGATAATCAATTTTGCAAAACAGAACAACAGGTGTCTACATTTGGCAGAGGGCTTCCGACTCAGGCTCTCAAAGAATAGGCAGTTTCGGTGAGGTTGTTCCAGAATCTTAGACGATGCGGCTTATACTCTGTATAAGCTGTGCAAATGAATAAGCTGTTCTCTTCGGTGTCCAGTGTCTCGCAAGCCGGGCATGTCCGATCCGATGTACAGTATTGCCGTTATATACCGGCGTGGCTGTTGTTGCGCCGGTTTCCTGTATTGGGCTAACTTGTAAAGGCCCAACACATGGTTGCGTCTGACGGCGTTTTGCAGGATTCCTCCTATTGTTGCGCCTTGCTCGCTGGGTACGTTGCGGCAGGGTAATGGTAACCAACTGCTTGTTAATTGGTACGCAACGAGAGAGTGTCAGACGCAAGAAGGTTTAGTACGGATTATTGAGCCACTCCTGGTCTAGTTTACCGCAACGGTTTTTATTCATGTTCTCATTCATCCTGCTCACTGTTCCTGAAGCGCGAAGAGTAGTTACGTTTCTTGTACTAAGTTCAGATTCTGAAACAAAATAATTACATGTATCGTATCGCTTTCTCAGGAAAACTGAAACTGTTTCATGTTTGTACAAGGTGCCAGAAACGGAAAGCCACGCAGCAAACCTACGATTAAAAAGTGAAAGATTCTTGAAAATAATTTTCTTTTATCAGTACATCATGATGTATGTTTCGAAGCTACCATACGAAGTTCGTTGTTACCATGCATAACTAACGGTTACCGTAGCAAAAATAAATTACCGTTACCGAAATGAGTCACCACTATCCGTAATGGTTTAGCGTCAACGTAGCGGTTTACCGTTTCTTTAACAGTAATGGCTTACAGTTACCGTAACAGGGTACTAGTAACATATTGCTGCTACCGTAACGGGTTACCGCTCTCGTAACGGGTTACCGCTCTCGTAACGGTACCGTTACGTTCGGGTTACCGTTGACGTAATGAATAAGCATAAGTTTGGAAACCAAAAGCGACGCCGAGCTGCGGCAACAGTGAATTACGGGGCCTGGCCTCGCTCTCACGAGGCTTGCATGTTATTAACTATTCTGGACTTCTTCAAGAAAATTGCGTTTCATTAACCTATCACGGTAAGCGATATAATTAGATAACTGACTTTAGTATCTTTTTTTCCGAAGTCGATAAATTGACCAAACATCGCACAATTATGCGAGGCAGATTACGTACAAGAGTTTCCGAAATATGTACTGCTATCCGTAGTGTTTACCAGCAGTAGTGGCTGTACGGGCCTGTCCCTGTTGATAAATTAAGGCAATAATACTCATTATACTTGTATAAACAACCGAAGAGAAGTAATATTAGTAAGTTACGCTTAGCCGATTTCTATGCTACATAACTTTCAGATGTCGACGAATACGGAATCAAGGCAGCAGCCGTCACAGTTCTCCGACCAATTTACGCGTGCGACTACAGATACAGACTACAACTATTTCCCGGCATTCGGAGCCAATGAATGACCTGGCTAAAGCGCTTTCGTCACTGATTTCTTTACAACGCAATTGCAAAAAGAAACGGTACGCGATTTTACAACAATTCGGGTACTCTGTGAAGAGCACATCTCGCTTGATAAGATAAAGCAAAAAACCTAGAAGAAATCGGTTTGTGGAATTGATTTTCCAACTGGCTTTGGAAATGAAATACGGAAATATCCCGTAATCTAAACAGCAAATGCAGCAATGATACGAGTATGTGGTAACACAATGCCTGTATACAGTTAAAATACTACAGAAGTCTGGCAAAACCAGCATATCCGAATTGCAGATGGATGGCATGAAACTGCAGTACTTCTAGACACTAAACAGCGCGTAATTATTTCATTGCGTTTTCATTGCGTTTTCATCCATTTGGCAAAGCTTACTGTGCCATACAAATTGCTGTTACTAGTATGCAAATTTTCGGCTTCCTGACAAACCCGAATAGGTCAAAGAAAGTCGACGCTGAAAGCGCTAAAATGCGTACAAAAGCTCCAAAAACTTGTGAAAAGCACTGCGACAGAACTTGCTTGGCCTGACCGAGTATTGCATTGCCGTTTTCTTGGAGCGTCGCGGATGACCCTCGGAGACCACTATGCGGCCGTTGTTGCACACCGCAGCGATCGATTGGGAAAGCGGCGTCGTGGGTTCCACGGTGGTCAATTCCTGTGCCAGAACGTGCTCGTGAATGGCCACCAAGGTGCTGCGACAGTGAAATGTTTGATCCACTAGGATCACTACACCGTCCGCTTTCATGGCGGCGTGCTTGATGCGGGAAACAGAAACGTTCCCTCGGTGCACGAAGCAGTAATGATGTCACCGCAGGTTCTCCACGTCTCGTCCGAAAGCCTGTTCTTGTCCGATTCCGCAGCCACTAACAGGCTATCGTGGTCTGTCACGAGATCATTAGAAATATGAATGTAATCGAGAAATTCCGTAAATTTTGCGAAGCAAAAACTGGTAAGGTCGGAGGAAAAGGTGAGTTGGTGGGCGTGCGAATGTTCCGGATCGGTGGAGCTGAGAGTGGGCAGCTCGTTGGCGCATTCTACGCGGATCTCTTCCTGCTGGTGCTGTTGGATGTCGTTCTGCTTGGTGATGTTGAAGACATTAAGTTGAATAACAGTGTGGAGATTGTAAAGTTTCATTTTGCAAATTTGCAGGCAAATGAGCGATCCGTGTGGAAGATGAGAACTGTACCCTCGGCATGCTGCAAATCAGGCTGCGACATGGATAATCGGCCCAGTGAACAGTTGATTTCAATAGGTTTTGTCTCCGGACACATTGCGCTTAGATTACTGTAACCTGTGATTTGTCGCGTCTGCTGTCGCGGTGGGTGTCGTTGTCGTGATGGCTGTGCTAGAAACTGCTGTCGATGTAGCGTTACCTACGAAGAGCCAACAGCTTTTTTCGCCGTAGCAAATTAATTCTTTCACGTCCACCGCTTTCTGACAGTTTCCTAACCGACTTACCGCTGATTAACACAGTTGCTGACCAACAGATAGGGGTATATGACGGACAATTCGCTTTCGATAAATTTACTGCTCGACTGGTAGCAGAAATTAATATTCGTTGATTGCTAACCGGTCTGATTTTTGGATTGTTTTATGTGTTCGAATGTTTATTTTTGGTGTTTATAAATATGTAGTCCTCGTGTTCCGAGCTTCTCTCGGGTTTCTTTGGAATTTGATTGCGTAAGCTTCTTAAGTTTTTGCATTGTTTTGCTTAAATTGCTTTTAGCAGTTTAAGTTGCTTTGTAGGTATGAGGGCACCGCGACATTTCGCCGCCGACATCGCATCGCAGGACTTTTGGTCGCAGACATTTCGCCGCAAGGTCATCTCGCCTAGCGACGCTTCGTCGCGAGACATTTAACCGGCAGGACATTATGCCATGAGACATGTTGTCGCCAGGCCGTTTCGACGCCGAGACATTTTGCCGAAGGGCTGTTTCGACGAAAAGTCCATTTTAGCAGACAAATTCTTTATCAGGCTTATTGGAACTGGCAAAAATTCCTAAGAAAAAATTTCATAAACTTAAAAAAAATAACTGAGAAACAATTGAGAAAACCGAGAAAATACGAAGGCCAATAACCATAAGAAAAACCTCAGAAGTCTAAGAATAACCTAAGAGCCTGAGAATAACCTATGAAATCTAAGAATAGCCTAAGAATAACCTAAGAACAACTAAGAAGCCTAAAAGACCTAAGAAAACCTCCCAAGAAACCAAAAAAAATCTGCGAAAATTAAGCGTGTCGAATGCTTTTGCGGCGAAGTGTCCGCGACCAGACGTCTTGCGTCAAAATGTCGCACAGTCAAAATGTCTCAACGCCAATAGTCCCTAACCGAAGTGTCCCAGCGTCAAAATGTCCCGCGGCAAAACGTCTTTGCGGCGAAATGTCACACTCCCATGTCCCAAATGTCCGGGTGCGAGGTATGAGTAGTGTTCTTCGTTACGTTTCGTGGGTTTCCTTACTGGGTTTTCGCATGTTTTTTTTTTGTCATGAATCATGAGAACGACTTGAGCAGGATACCCATGCTCAGAGAATATAGCCGTTCGGTATCTGGAAAGTCGATCATTGAGACGTTTGTTTCAGGCTTTCGACTAACTGTCAGGTAAAAATCGGGGCCTACTTTACTTTGCTGCCCCTTTGCCTTTGCCGTTTCACTTTACCTTTTTCAACTGGCAAAGTTGAAAAAGGTAAAGTAGTGGCAAAGGCAAAGGGAGCGGCAAAGGTAAAGTGGGCGGACCCTACAATTTCTGTCGATCAGCAAAATGTCGTCAGCAAGAATGCGGCCAGCAATTATCGGTGCCGCAAATATGTAGCACTATGCGTCGAAATGAACCTTGTCAATAAATAAAGCAAAATAAATTCAGAAATTACTCAGCACTCGCATAATGAATCATTCATGATTATTAGCGCTTACAGTGGTCAAACCAGCCAGGCTTCGTGTGCATTTGTAATAACTCGTATTGACTATCAACTGGCAGCTCGAATTGCGTTCCACAGGATAACGTGCTACGAATCCGCGGCGTTTCCGACACAAATATTTTGTTCCAGGACGTAAAATGCATCAATTCGCAGCAGTTACATTTACTTTCGATGCAAAACGGTATTCCACGGTCATATAACAGTGTTGGCACAGATGCATTCAAACCGATGCTGCTCAACACTCCATGAGGGATAGATTTCAGTTTATTATCGTTAATGGACAACTCCTGTATCGAGGTGGAGAAAGTGCTGCCGCTTAATGTTAAGGAACGCAATTTCGGCATTTGGTCATCCAGGCTAAGTAAGGCCTGCATAAAAACAGCGTGTACCACCGGCATGCTAGTGAATTTTTCTCCGACTAAATGTCATAAGAGTTGCAAGCTCACCAACGTGTTTCTGATGGGCAAAAGAGATCTCCAATCAAATGCTTCCACAGCGTTGCCATCAAAATACAGTTGTATCAATGACGGTTCCACTAACGTTTCCCCGGCTAGACTGGAAAAAGCGTCCACGCTGATACTTCGAATGTCATTACGCTCAAGATAGAGATGCTGCAGCTTTCCAAAGCCCGAAAAGTACTCGCGATCAATGGTGCCGATTCGGGAGCACCGAATTGAGAGCGTTAGAATGTGCTTGTTATGCGTTAGGAGCTTGTCAATAGGAACTCTTCCGGCTCTAAATCCTTTAAACCATGCAGAACGTAAAAATTTCAGAAATGGCAAGGGAGACATGTCATCGGAAATTACGTTGCAGTAAACCAATCGCTTTCTTGGAGCTATATCACTGTGAGCGGGACAACTGAGAAAAATTTCATCGACCTCACGGGGAATAGAAGCAACCTGAAATGTGTAGGGCAGAATCAGATTGTTCCCGGCACATCGCAGACGATGAAAACTATACTCACAGCCCGAATTTGGAAGGGCAGTAACAATTCGGGTGAACAGCATCGTTATTATAAACAACATTTCTGCGAGGCACGTTTTAGTATGCTACCGCAGCGATGCCGTGCAAAATGCGCTAGAGCTACCGAAATATCGTCCGGTTCGCAAAAAGGGCTGTGTAGCTATGTGTTTAAAAATGCTTAATCTCCGCTGCAACAGTTGTGAAACTATGTGACTGACTGATACGTTAACGTTCGACCGGTTTGAAATTTAACAATTTGCGCTGTGCGGCTCTTATGCTGATGGACCTCGATTACATTTCGAAGTGCTTATTACTGGCTATATTTATAGAGTCGCTACAAATAAGTTTTCACTGGCGCTTAAATTTTCCGGCTGTTATTTATTGCTTCGCCCCAGACTTGTGACGTTTAGCGCAAGACCGTTTCGGCACACCGACAACTCGCTGACGACAATCCTGCTGACCGACAACTTGCTGGCGACTTTTTGCTGACCCACGAAATGATGACCCGACAGTTTGTTGAAACCACAAATCGCTGAACGACATTTCGCTGAACGACTTTTTGTGAACGCCGACAACTTGCTGCCGACAACTTGCTGACTGGAGAAATCCAAGAAACCTAAGAAACCTAAGAAACCTAAGAAACCTAAGAAACCTAAGAAACCTAAGAAGCCTAAGAACCCTAAGAAACCTAAGAAATCCAAGAATAAACAACAAAAAAGTTAAGAAAACTCATAAACTAACGTCCCGAACTTGACAGCAAGTTGTCGGTCAGCGAGTTGTGTGAGTCAGCAACATGTCGGTCAGCAAATGGTCGGTCAGCGAAGTGTCCAAGTGTAGGTCGGCGAATTGACGTGCTACCGGAAAATGCTAAGGGAAATGGACTGGCAATGTTGTACTAGTACATACTGTAATTATCAGATCAAGCAATTCTTCCAATGTGTATCTCAGAGATGCACTCGCAGCATGAGCTGTCGCAAACACATTCATATAGCCATTATAAGCAGTTAAAAGTGTTATCGAGGTACATCAGCACAGGAGCGTAAAATTGTAAATGTTCACACCGATTGAACGTTATCATATCAATCAATTAGTTTCACAACTGTTGCAGCAGAGATTAACCATACTTAAACACATATGGCGGAACAGTAGTTTTTCCGAAGCGACGGTATTTCAGTAGCGCTAGTGCATTTTGCACAACATCGCTGCGGTAGCCCGCAAAAACGGTGCCTCGCGGAAGTGCTATTCAAACTAACGCCGTTATTATGAATAGCACTTCCGCAAGGCACCGTTTTTCAAATGATGTTCACCCGCATTGTTACTGGCCTTCCAAACTCCGGCAGTGAATATAATGATCATCGTCGGCGGTATGCCGGGAAAAATCTGATTCTGCCCTACAAAATTTTCGGCTGCTTATACGTCGTATTCCCCGGGGAATAGCAGCAGCCAGACATGGGTAGTGTAGGGAGATCTATCGCCCGTTTTCAAAAATGTACCGGGTACATTTTTTGAAATGGGCGATGTAAACTGTCCGATGAATGCTGAATGAGATGTGTACACTGTACTCCTCTTACGCAGTTTTCATCGGAGAAGTTTTCTGAATACACTGTTGACGTCGCCGCGAAATTCTGAGCTAAACGGTTGAGGCCGATTGTCGAAATTCGTTTTTCCCCTCAACTCAATATTCACGGGCGGTCGCTGATACGACACCCGATTTCGGGGGAAAATTGCCCCTTTGCAAACTCACTAACATGGTGTTGAGATTGCAACGCTTATGGCATTAGTCGGAGAAAAATTCACTAGCATGCCGGTAATATGCTTTTATATTCAGGCATTACTAACTTATCTTTGATAACCAAAAGCCGAAATTGTATTCCTTAACATTAAGCGGCAGCACTTTCTCTAACTCGATACGGGAGTTGTCCAGTAAAAAAAATGCACTGAAATCTATTCCCAATGGAGTGTCGGACAGCATCGGTTTGAATGCATGTCTGCCAACATTGCTATATATCCTTGGGAGATGTTAAGTGAATATCTTCCAACGGCATATAACAATGTTGTGCACCGGATCCACCGAATGCAACTGCTGCGAAATGATACATTTTATGTCCTGCCAGTCCTGGAGCCAAATATTTGTTTCGACAACGCCGCGGATTCGTAGCACGCTACCCTGTGGATCACAATTTGAGCTGGCAATTGATAATCAACGCGAATTATTGCTTACTAAGCCTGGCTGGTTTGACCACTGTAAGCGCTAATCATTATTCAAGGGCTAAGCAATTTCCGCGATTTATTATGTTTTATTAACAAAGTTCATTTCCACACAAACGGCTGTTTGCGGCACCGACAATTTGTTTACCTCATTCTTGCTGACGCTATTTTGCTGATCGACAAATTGTTTTACGTGACAATTAGTTGAAAGTCTGAAAAAATATTTCACTGATCGACTTCCCAGATTACTGAACGACTATTTTTCTCCCGAAAACAGTTTTTCATCGAAACTGCAACGGCGACATTTTCGAGTTCTGCCAATCTGGCTATCGCACGTTGGCATGTTTCTTCCAGTGTCGCCAAATACTGTATTATCGCACTAGCAATAATTGTCATAAATTAGAATTTTAGTGCGAACTGAGTGCCTACCGGTGATAAACAGGGGGCGTCAAAAAAGTTTGTAATAAACAGGGATGGGAGCACGGACAGGGAGGGGTACCAACTACCATCACTCACGTACGTAAACCATTGGAACCCGACCAGGCGTTTGCTTTACTGCACAGCTACACGACTGCCGTATGCTACCGTGACCTTTCTAATGCTGTACCTTACGCTTTACTTAAATAATGTTTGTCTATAATCACGACATTACTTCCGAATTACGACTGGACTTTACCGATTATCTCAAAGAAGCTAATGACAACATCACTGCCATCAAAGACATCAAAGACAACATCACTGCCATCTTCACAAAACTGGGGAACGATATCTGCGAATATCTTCAACAATATTTTGAGAAACTTCAGCAGTACGAAGAAGTTTCCTCGAATACCTCTGAGGACGAAACATTACGTTTTGCGAACCACATTTCCGACAGTTTCAACCACCATTCCGTCATTGAATACGTTAAGTATATCGGAACCCAAAGCCACATTAACACAACTGGCTCTGCCGACACCACCATTATGAAATCTTGATACTCCTCTATTTTCCATGCTATCTGTTCCAGCAAAATCGACAATAGACAGGACTACTCCACATGGAAATTTACGGAAGTTTTCCCAATCGGTAAGCGGAAAAGAGCCAAATTCAAATCGACGAAGCATGATATTATATCCACGGGATGACGCCTCGCCGCCAACCTTGATGACAACAACTGACGTGCTATGTATTCCGTCAAAGTTCATTGCCTGATGAAAAATTCTGTCAAATTACTGCTTTGTCTTCTGCTGCGTATTTACAAAACTATAACCGAAATTGTGAGCCTATGGTACTAACCTATCTGTGTGACTAAGTTGTCGCCTAGAACTCAATAAAGTTAAGTTAAGTTACCTAGAATGATTTATAAAACTTTAAATGATGATAATAAATATTGACGACAACGGTTGAGAGTTATTTTGACCATTGGATTTAGACGAAACCCGTTTTGCTGATAAGGGAACAGTATGGGAATGCCGTTTGCGCACCGCGCAAAGGTCACGGAGAGTAACACCACCTTTCCCAGTAACGGAGAACCAGCGGAACGGGAAGCAAGGGTACAGGTACGATGTACAATATCGAGTTTGGGGTCGTTCTTGGAAGAAAAAGATGAGCTATGTGTTTGTGTTCAGCTAGTCCCACTGAGTACTTCCTTGTAAATTCTAATAATTGTATCTACTGAACAGGTGGGTAGATAATCGAAAGCACAGTAATGAATGTAAGTGCAATTTGGAAAATGTCGAGAGTACTGTAACAGCGCAGCTTTATTGAGCGTTCCAGTCAAAAGTCAGTGCACCGCAATTACTCGTACATCGGCAATCAGTCTGCTGTAGGCTAATTATAGCAAGGCATCCATCACTCCATGGTAGTGAAGTGTTTGTTACTCGTCGCCCGTCGGTCGTCACTACCATGGACATGGAGTGATGGATGCCATGCGCATTTTTGCGTACATATTTTTCCGTAGGTCCTTCTACACACAGTTTTGTCTTTTCCTACAAGAAGGTCAAAGATTAAATACACCCGAATTATGCCCAGAACCCGTGTATAAGCGTGCCTTCAACCAGATCGTTTGGGTATCTAAAAACCTTTCCTCAATCCTTTTTTTTGGGCAGCGCCCTACTAATGAGAAACTGCTGGCACTTTCACGCTGAAGAGCGGCCTCGTCTTGCCAGCTTAAGGCGGAGCATAGAAGCACTATTGCCGGTGGCGGAAATGGCGCGGTACATTGCTCTCGATACGGAAAACGAGACACTGAATAACTCGCTTGACATTAACAACCTGACAGATTGTTCCAGCTCATCTAAGTTTTCGCCCAGCGCTGCGTCATCCAGTCAAACTATCGTGATGATGTAGCAAGGGATCCGCACCGACGCATTAGCACGCATTTATTCATTGTAGCATTTTGTTCTTTGAAGTGCATCTCGCTTGTAACGACTGCATTGCAGAGAAACAGTGTTGTCATTAAGTAAAAATCTTCTAAGAGCAGATGACATTTCTTCACTCAAGCGTTTACAGGATGAAGGCGACAGAAACAGCACGAAAACACTGTTGATTATGGCGTCCAACCCATAAATCGCTCGATGCGCTACATAATGGTACAGCAGAGGTACTTGCGTAGACGTGCACGCCGCGCGGCAGCGCGTTTGGCGGCCAGCACCGCTTTCGAGCGCTCGAACACGGCCAGCAGACGCACCCGCTCCGCATTCAGATACGCTATGTACTCCGCATCCTGCAATATTAAGACCAGCCTGTATCAGACTGCATCATTCGACTGCAACGCCATGCTTTTCTAGGTTTGCTGCAATATATAAAGCTAACTTCCGTTTGGAGAAAAGACTCACAGTGAAGAAGGTCTTCGGTTCGGCTTCGGCAAAGGTATTCCCTGTCACACAGAATGCTTTAATTATATAAGGGTCCAGTTTATGTACACAAAACTATGTGTAATGTAATGGAACGTCTCAAGTTCAACTGATACATAAACGCCGTGAACGGTTTACAGTATACAGTTAGCGATACATTAGAAATTAAAGTCGGAACGAAAATTGTTCATTGTGGCGACAGCCATTGGTGTACCTAACGTCCTTGGATACACCGCCATGGCCTCCACACAAAATTCTTCTGTAAACAAAGCGCTGGAATGCAAGTTATCAGCGGATATCTTTTACAATTATTACAGCCAAGCTTTACGATCGTTTTATTCGACCAACTGGGACAAGACAAATAAGAAAAACGTCAAAAATTGAAACCACAGAAGCATGATCGGTTACGCTAAGCGTGTCCGGCAAAAAGTGATGACAGCGTAACGTACTTCGCGATTGCGGTTTTTGCGGCTAGTTTACATTATGTTTGTTGTCAGCAGTTCATGATCTGATGACAGACAGAAGGGTCAGTGCGCAGACCAGGATACCTTATTCAGAAGCCTTTAGAATAAACTATTCTACACTGGTACTGCTCTTTAGAACTTGATAATTCGTTCAAGGCCAAGGCAGGGTTACGTATAATGGCAGCTCGTTCGAAAAACATGGAATCCGGCAAATCGCCAGGTTCATACAGGAACTACTGTAATTCAAGCAGAGCCAAGACACGAGCAATCGAATCAGACTTAGAGAATTTACCCGGTCTTGAGACGATTCTATTCTCTACCAGGATGCCGGACAACGGCTATTCGGGTTAAGAGCACACCACACAAGAGCTGGGGCACTGCGCCTCGTATTGCTATATAAGGCATCAGTTCGGTGCATTTTTGCACTCCGCTTAGTTTGCACTGCTACTACTTTTCAGTTGAGACTTTATTTTTCGCAAACGTGTGTCCGTGACTTTTATTGAGCAAGTCAATTTCCAGACTGCACGAAAAGGTCACTTACTGTTCAGTCCACGGCATCTGTTGTCCGTCTGATTTTCTGCACGGGAATTCCAGGTAAGCGGTTCTTCAGGCAGAATATGGACATCACACTTTTCATAGTTCTTGAAAATTGTAATTTCTTTATGACCGTTGCCACCTTCGATTTATCAACTCGTTGAATTTTGTTCCATTTTTTTCGTTTATGGTGTACTTTGCCAAGTCTTTCAATCACTAGAATATTCAAAAATAATTTATACCGTCTGATTTTTATATTTAATTTCTAATACGAGAAATATTTTATTATTACTTTTATATTTTAATGTATTTATTAATCTTAATAACAAAATAAAATTATTTATAATTATTTTATTTTAATACAAAAATATTCTTAATATTTTCTCTTTTTATTTAGTTTCTTTTATTTAATTTCTTCTTATGATTTTTTATTTAATTTTTCGTATTAGAATGGGCTTGCCGGAACCACGTTGCGCCTACGGCACCAAGCCATCCGAGGATCGTCCGGCTCAGCGTCTCCTGAACGCCGCCCGTACGGCGCTCGCCCATGGCGACCAGCTGGAAGCTAGCGACCTGTTCCGCAAAGCCGGGAACTTGTTCAAATTGGAGCGCCAATGGCAGGCTGCCGGCACCGCCCTCCAGGAAGCCGCCCGCCTCAAGGCGCCGCTCCAGACCGACGACCGCAGCGACCAGTACCCGACGCGTAGCACCACCAGCGGACTGCTGAAGGAGGGCAGCGACTGCTCGTCAAAGCGGACAACCGCCGCGCGGCGCTGACCTGTCTGCAGGCGGCGGCGGATCTCCTGACGGAAGCCGGGGATTTCTACGCAGCAGCGGGACACATCGCCTCCATGGGACAGCTGCTGCTGACCCACGACATCGACCGCGGTGTGAGGAGAGAAGCGGCTCACGTACAGCGACAAAATCTTTCAAAGGATTTCAACGTAACGCGCCGTGGTGCAGTGGTACTGCCTACGCGGATCTAACGACGTCGTTGGGGTTCGATTCCTTCATCGGTGCATTTTTCAGCCGTTTCTCGATTTTCAACGGATTGCGCCCTGCTGATAGCGGGATGGCCTACTTTGAAAAGGCCGGGGAGTGTGGGGACACCGCTATGCTAACAAGGCGTGGCTGACCGCCGGGGAGCTGGCGGCGTTGAAGGGCGACTACGGCCGCGCCATCGCCGTCTTCGAGATGGTCGCTCGCGCCCACCATCGGGAGCCGGCCGAACGCGACGACGAGATCTTCACCGCCGACTACTTCCAGACCGACCGCTTCCCCGACGCGCTCCAGGCCAATCCCGCCTGTTTCCGGGCGGTGCTGTGCTATCTGTGTCGCGACGGGCAATTCGCCGCCAAGATGGCGCTGGTGCGCTTCGAGGACCAGCAGCCAGCAGGGGTCGTTGCTCCAGGCGATGGACTACGGCTTGAACCAGTTCACGGCCAAGAGCGTGGAAGGGTTTCGGAAGGCGAGCGACGAGAAGGCGGCGTATGGAACCGGGAGCACCTACAACTACGGCACCTATAACAACTACTACTATAGCAACGACTACTACCGCCTGGACCAGTGGAGCCGGAAGATAACTGGGTCGCGCACTGCAGGTGCTGCGCGACGCCGAATACGGACCAGCGCGTTGAATGCCGACATTGGACCAAGAGCTTTTCCTTCGATGCTGTCTAACTAGGTCTTCTTCCTGTTCAGTGGACGTCTGTATTGCACTAACGTAATACGAATGTTTGCCTAATTGTGGATTAAATCAGCCTGCTTGTACCAGCGACTAACATTGGACCGTTTTTGACACGGCAGCTGCATGCTTTAAAATCATTATTAGTAAGTAATTAGCAGTTCCTTGTTACAGCAAGTGCCGCGATCTTTTCTTATGGCAACGGCACCTTGTACGCTAACCAGTTCCGTTTCCATTTAAAGTTAACTAAATTTTTTGTCGAACGAAAATAGTTTTTTTTATGGTTCATCTGTCACAAGGAATAAATTCGCCAGGCTAGTTCAATAATTTGGTTTCATGAAGAGAAAAATCTCTGCCACGTGTCAAAACATAATTAAAAATGTTCATATATACAGATTTTATTGCCAGAGCTCTTAATACTTTATTAATTTGTAGTATAGGACCATAGGTCCATGATTGCCCATGCAATGTTTCGCATGTAAACGTTTTTGTTTGCATTTCCATCGGCCCAGTGCGCCGTGAAGTCGTATATGCCCGGTACATAGAAACTCCAAAACTATGTAGTATCAATTATGGGAAATTTGGTATAATTTCTCGTGTGACAGCGCACTTCACACGGGCTGCGGAGGACCGCAGTGGTACAGCACCGTCCCGTCGCGCGTTAAGGGGTGGTGGTGCACGCCGCTGCGCGCATGCGCACAGGTGTCCTTGCTCTTGTTGGCCCAGCGCAGCAGGCGCGCGCACATCTGCCGGCATTTGTCGCTCATCAGCGAGTAGAACACCGAGTCCAACGCCGGATTGGCGTGGTACAGGAAACCTGCAGGGAAAAAAAGCCATCGGAAAAGGTCATTGTAAGAACCTGAGATCGACTGACCAGAAACCGGGAACAGGATGTCGTTGATGCGCACCATCTGGCGCAGCTGCTGCTGGTCGCTCCAGTCCACCAGGGCGAACATCAAGCGCTGGGCGTGGAAGAGGCCGTAACACAGGAAGAAGCTGACCACGATGGCCACTGAAAACAGACAAAAGGTCACTGTAATTTTTTAGGTTTTTTGGGTTTCTTAGATACCTAATCGGGCATAAAATGGTGTGAGAAAAGGGTTGCAACAGAAACACATCCGACGCGAATAAATTGCCAGCACTGGGTTCGAACAGGGAAGCGCTTGTTTGTGTAAATGCGCTGAATCCAAGCTTTTCCCGTTTTAGTCCTACGCTGAAGATCATTGGCTATTTAGCAGGGTAGAGTCTCGCTCGTTATCGCGAATTCGCAGTTAAGGACTACTAAAGCGGATCGCAGTCAAGTGGTCCGCCATTCAAAAAATAAAAATATAATCAGCAAAGGGGAATGCAACACCAACACATCCATTGCGCATAAATCGCCAACACTGCCGTTTTTGGCACAGTATGCGGCAAAAAGAAGGCTTTATTTAAACTGCTCGTGCATCTTACACAGTCCGTAGAAGACGCGCTGACTATAGTGGTGGCAGTGCTCATGGATGCGCGAGGACGCCGAGGAGCGCTGCTTGGACAGGCGTCCGCTGCGCCGGAAGGACTCCTCGGCCTCGGCGCTCCCGTCCGACCTCTCCTCATCGCCGCTGCCGCCGTCCAGCGTCCGGCCGCGGACCACCAGCCAGATGCGCCGGTGCAGCACCAGAAGGACGATCATCGGGACAGCGTAGAAGGTGATCGTGGAAACTGAAAGGTCACACTCGTTAAGAACAAAACAATTCGTAAAGATAATGAAAGGTCAAGGTGCGCTGCGTTTACCGATGAAAAGCGGCGCTAATTGCTCGTGCAGGTTGAAGTGGATGGCGCACCAGGACGCTTCGGGAATGCTGGCGCCGTCCGGCGTTTGCAGATAATTCACGTTATCTAAGAAAAAAAGCAAACACTAATTTTTCGCAGGAAAACCAAAAGAAATACTTAAACTGAACTTATAAAAAATGCAGATATACAATTGCTCTACCACATGAAAGCATCATGTAAGTGCATTTAAATTTTGAATTGAGTATTGAAAACATATTTATCGAGTTATGTTAATTATACATGTATATATAAAACCAAATCACAAACAGGTAATATTTAACGTAAATTCACAATTTTTCCAAATTTATCTTTATTAATATTTAGTACTATAAAGACTACATATTGTATCCATAGTATAAACAAGAATATGCTTAGTATTAATATAACTTATCCAAATAACTTAGCTAAAATAACTTAACAAGTATATTATAATTATCAGTTGAAACAAAATTCCGCGGAAATTTTTTTGTTATGTGAAATTTTGAGAAGATTAATCCATGATATCGTACGGAAGTAAGCAAAGGGAATGGCGGTAATCAGGGCGATAATCCAACAGGCGAGGATGATCTTAAATGGCCGCGAACGCTGCATCTGCAGCGCCTTCATCGGATACGCCACGGCGATATACCGTTCCACCGTAAAGGCGACTACAAAATGACGCAACACTGCATCGATAAGCGGCCCGCCGGCGGGCAGCAGCTACTATCAATGAATAAATGCATGAATGAGACGCACTGATTGTCAGGATGGAGGAGCATAATGCCGCTTCCGCCAGCAGCGCCACCGCCGAGCAGAACGCCGGGCCCAGACTCCACGGATACTGTGCGAAGGGATTTCATATATGTATGCAAATCAATGCCGTTCACTTGGATGCACTTCATTGGCACCCGCATATGTAACGTTTAATTCCGGGCTGACCTGATTCCAGTATTTGTAAATCTCCAACGGCAGACCTAACGCGCAACATTACGTAATCATGAACTACTGATTCCCGGTGGAAAAAATACGATGCATAATTAACACTCGCACTATTTCACGTTCGATTTACATCGTGTTGTTCTGTACGCGAAAGCATTAGCGTGATTTCAAACGACGCATTTACATCTCAGAACGATTTCTATAATTTATTTTAATTTTTTTTCCAACAAGTAGGGGAGAGAAAGACAGATATATATTTTGGATAAATTGACTTTCTTAAATACATATATTATACAGGATAATTTTTGTTTGATTATGCTTTATTACTGACAATTTATTTTTTATTAGACAGAGGAGTGATTTGCACAGGAACGCAGGTTACTCATAAGGAAATCGCTTCTGTGCACTAAGAGAAAAAAATATAGCGACCTATGTGCTTTTCATGCTGTCAAAGTAGTGCGAGTGTTAATAGAACAGATAATAAAAACGATAAAAATTAAATTGGCTTACTGACGAGCGTCTGCAGGAGATCGGTTAAGGCCAAACTGCAAAAGCACAACACACCTGATTGGCCGTGCAATTTGTCATTTTTCTGTGACGGCTGTCAACATTATTGGCTCACTTAAAAGCCGTTCGTAAAAATCATTAGCAAAATTCACCGAAACCGGCATAAAATATGCATCGTGTTTTTGTTACACCGACTTGAGCAAATAGGGATCGATGCCGTTCCAGTGGCGGTGCCGGTTCCATACGATCAATAAGCAGATGTTGATGAAATTCCCCACAACACCCAGGACAAACAGCGTTCCGTAGACACCCTGCCGCGGCATTACACAGCATTTCATTTCCGGTCAAACACGTCGCTCTGATTTCCCTGCGAGAAAATAATATGCAACTTACCGTGAAAAAATGCGCGTGCGGGATAACGCGATCTCCGAGATGCTGGCGAATATACACGTCCACGTCGAAAACCGCCGTGGTCGCTGTTTGATTGACCAACAGCTCGATGGCCATTTTTCCCGATTTAATCAAACTAACCGCGGTACACGTATCATGATCGAAATGACGTTATTTTATCGAAGAATAACCGGTTAAAAAAAGCGCTGTTATTGTGAGTGTGTTGATTCGTTAGGCGACGAGCGCTTCGACTAATGAGCAGCTATATCCGTCAACGCATTGTGTCAGCGGCACGCGAAGAGAGAGAACAGACAGCAGCAAGTTATTAGAGAGAGTAATGGTAGTATAAATGGCCGGATATCCCCGGAGACACCGGCGCAGACAGAGCTGCGCGGAGACAGAGAGAGAGAGACAGAGAGAAACAGCGGCTGTATAGCTGCAGATTGGATTTGCATTGGATAATCACAGCGACAAAGCACAGTCATTATACTGGGCAATATGCGTACGTGTATCCGATACGCGGGGTAATTCACTTATCTGATTAATCTCTGTCCGCGTTGTACACAGGCCAGCCAATCAAAAATCACAGAATTTTTTGAACGGATTCCCGTGCACTTGATTAGGGGGATTCATTAGCGCCACTTGTTAGCCACATTAGTCACACGCGGACAGTTCAAACTGCCGTCACGCGCCACAACAACATTTGCTCTAGTAGTTGGTTCCCTCCGAAGTCGTTCGCAGGTTAGCTGGCACTCGGAGAACGTAATGACGGGGCTGTTTTGTGTCGCGGTATTTATAAACAACCGACGGTTGCGTAACCCGGCGAAATCCCGCTGCCGAGAAAAAAGAAGGGTGGGCGGACAGAAGAGATCAACCGGCGCGTCGCTACCGTCCTGATCTCTTGATCGCTGCCGGCTAAACCCGATATTCGATCGCTCTGCGGCGATCGGATTTTGCAACGTTATACCGGGTATTTTTCGACGTTTCTCTACAACCGATCATTTGCGCTATATGTTCTGCACAACTGATCACCCACGTATTTCAATTTCCTGCGGGGACAAAATATTTTGTAAAATTCGGGATAGTGATTAACGGAAAAATATTAAATGAATAAATTAAAATTTTATATACCGTATTCGAAATTTACATTCAAAATAATTTCTTAGTACAGGAAGAAATAATTGAGTAACGAAAAAATTAAAAATAACTGCTTTACATAGTCTTCACTTTATATTTAACTTTTACACATAAAGTTGCAAGTTGCAACTGCTGTACAAAATGATTTGCGAAACGCAATTCCAATTGCGTGCGTATTCCTCAGGGTTTTTATTAGTCAAATCTTTGTTGTTTGAATTATTATTTTGTGATTGCAACAATTATGCGTAAAGTCAAACTCAAAAGGAGGATCATGTAAAAAAATTATTTTTGGTTATGCATAAAATACGCTGGATGATCAGCTGTTCAGAACACATAGCGCCAGTGATCGGTTGTTGAGACACAGCGATATAAACACGGAAAAGTGATTGTCCATCTGGCCGCCTGATTGCCAGTGTGCGGATCGTATTCCCCAGGAAGTGTTGACATTGTCTGATTGCAGTACTTGATCCGGGCCGGAAGTGCGCTCTTCCCCGGCATCGACATCTTCCCGTGTCGCGCGACACGCGAGACTCGAGTGGCACTTGAAATGCCACACGTATTTGTCTGTAGTGTCTTCAGCGCGTAAATGGTCCCGTAACGCGCAGCCGGCTAATTAAATCACCGGCTGTTTCCCCGACGGACAGCTGCGTCGGGATTAATTACATGTGTGCTTTGTTCTATTGCCCGGGAAGACGAGTACTGGGTTACGTAATGGACACTTCGACCGGGGCATTGTGACGTAAGCGAACTCCGATGGAACACTGTGACGAGCTTGTGTTTTTATTGAAACTAACGTTACACAGGAATCAAATGGGGAATTGATTGCTTTTTTTGTACGGAGGGAAGAAAGATTGGAGGGATGGGAAAAGAAGCCGGTTGCATAACCCGGGATTTGGATTAAACGGGACAACGTGACGGGGCGCAGCAGCGGTCACGGTCGATGTGACGTCAGCGGATGGAAGAAAATGCCGGCAGGAAAAAACAGGAATACGAGATCACATGAAAGCGTTTTTGATCAGGAAGAGAAAAGCGCATTCGACTTGGCTACAGACTTTTTATTGAATAAATTAATGTTGACGCTAACAGCTGAATGCAGCAGTGTCTGTGTCGGCATAGGCAAACAACGCGGGCAGCACAAAATACATGTATTCAATTACTTGAACAGCTAAAGCTGCTTTATGTGATTTTTTGCATAGCTCATGCCGACAGCTGCTTTCGTGCATTGTTAGTCAGCTTTACATTTTTTTATTTCCTTTTATTTATCATTTTAATCTCCTTTGTAACTTTTTTTAAACATCGATCCAATTTTGTTACATTAACACTTTTAACGTTGTTCAAGAAGCTAAACGTCTTTTATTATTGATGACCTTTAGGAAATTTTCTAAAAATTATACTTTTTTAACGTTTTTCAAACCGCCGAACGTTCTTTACTGCTGGTGACAATAAGGATTTTTTTGTGTTTTTTTATTATTGGATACGAATTTATATTTTCACAAGTTTTTTGACGGTGTTCAATCGACGAACGCTTTAAGTCGTTTAATTTTTAGTAAATTTTGAAGATTTTTAACAGTGCTGTATTTGTACTCGTATCATGTATCCTTTACTGTTTTCTAAAGCTTTTTTAAACGTTGACAGTTGACACTTGTATCAATAAATAATAAAATATCAAAAAAATATCTTTAGCTTTTTTAAACGTTGACAGTTGACACTTGTATCTATAAATAATAAAATACCAATTTTATTTCCAGCATGTCTTTCAGCCGCATTTGCTTTCTAGACAAGGTCACTTATGCTTGCAGTATCACAGGCAGTATCAAATAACCACCGGTCATTTTCTTTAACCACGTGTCAACCGTCCGTCTTGCACAATCGAGGAAAACAATTGAAACAAACTCGTATTGCGCGTAACTAAGGATTTCTGCGTAACGGAGCAATCCGTAAAGAACGAATGGTACGCCGGTTTATCGCGCCAATCAACCCTGTCATCATGCTCCCACATATCCTTCTTCTTATACCAACTGGGATTCATGGCGATCTTCTGGTCCATGTACACCGACGTGCGATGCTCCGAAGTATTCTTATACAACTGCATCGGCACTAATCCCGAATTATACACCCACGTTCTCCGATAATCATCCACATAATGCTGTAAAATATCCTTCACATACGCCGCGCCTTTCCGGCACGCCAGGAACCCAATATTTGTGTTGCTGGCGTCCTCCTGAGTAGCGATACAGTCGTACTTCTTCTCCAATAAAATCACCAACCTGGAGATTTTCGGTAAAACGTATACATCAAAATCTAGCGTGATCCCGCCGTGTTTTAGCAAAATAAACAGTTTCGCCAGATCCGCTTCGTGGCGGATGGTCTTCGCTGTCCCGCTTAACCGGTGCCGGCCAATCACGAAGCGCCGTCGCGTACGAACCAATCGCACCGTCGTCCAATTGGAAATCAGCGAATTACACGTGTCAAACGGCCAGAAATCCGGGTAGTTGGTGTGGATGTAGATGCGCGATGGTTTGATATAAATCAGCACGGATAATAAGCTGACACACTGCACCCAACACAGTGTGTCGTTGGCGCCCGGGGCGGTTGGGTACAAGCGCACAAAATGCACCGGGAAATTGGTTGAAGTTGCGTCGATGACCGTGTCGTCGGTGATGTCGGCGATGCCGGGCGATGACGAATGATACGCTACGCTGGGGATCAAAGCCACCAGGTAGCGCTGCGTACTGGGCGGGGACACGACGATCCAGGCGGTCAAGAGGAGGATGGATAACGCTGGGATTAGACAGTACGCTGGTCGCAGATTGACGCTGCGCAATGAAGACATTTTAATAAAGTTCCCAATTTCTTGGAAAAATGACGTGCTTCTCACCGGTTAATTGTAGTTGTTTCCCATCGCTTGTTTCAGTGAAAATACCGGTGGTTTCAAGTGCATCGTCCACTCGACCGGCATGTTGGATGTGCATAATACGACGGTAGTTAATGCGGCATCTGCATGTTTTTGTGGCGCTGTACGTTTTGTGGTTGACTGTCGGCATTTGCCAATGATATATAGCGCGTGCACGGTAACAAGGAAGACTAGAACGTGTCTTAGATTTTGTATTGTGAGTCAGTGTTGTCCTTCCCTAAATTGTTCGATTGATGACAATCGAGATGACTATCCTAGCTCTCGGGACTGACCTACCGGGTACATCTGCTGTCCGATCTTCAGTCGTTTAATAAGGCTGCAGATTGTGGTTACGAGCTTATATCATTTGCCAACGATATAACATGTGCACGGTCAAAATGAAGACTGGTACGTAAGCACATGAGCGGTTTTCTTCAGAGTAACCACTAACCAGTAATCCTGTGGAAAGCACTTTCCCGTTTAGCATAATTAACGCTTCAGGAAAACGTATTTAAAAAGATTTGAATGAAGGAAATCCGTTGACTTCCGCCGCTTGAAAGCCGTGTAATGGGAATTCTGTCTCTGAATTTTTGAAGAATTATTATGAATACCTACTGCTGTAGGTACTGTACATGCATCGTTATTTTCAACAAATTCCGCCGGTCCGGGGATGTTGCCCGATATCGTGGTACACGGTCCGGGTCGGTCCCTACCTTGACCTGATTGAATCGTAGCGCGTTCGGTCAACTTAACCGTCAACCGTGGGTAGTAGCACTAAGAAACAGCTGCGAAGCACAAGGGAGATGTCAAGCTGACTTGACGGCCAACTACTGTAGCCGCGCGTTGAGATTGCACCACAAAGTCTAGTATACGGAATTCGCCGCACACGCTGCACATTCTACGCAAGGTATGCGCTGTCCGGCCGGGTTCAGGCAGCGGCCGGATCTGGTAGTCTTGCGATCTCGTCGCGTGGCTACTGTAAAGTGCGGCAGGGATCACATTACTCGGTGAATGGCGCGACACATAAATGGTTACACCCGCTAGTAAGCTCTTCATGGAGTAACATTTCTACGTTATTAGCTCTTGTGCGGCATCATGTTAATGGCAAGTGATTATTTTATTTTTATTTGCTTACCCAAGCGACTATCTTCATTGTACAGCCCATTACTATGATATCGCCCGTGTGCTACCTATACGTTTACGCCAGTAAATACTGGGGTCGATAACTTCTATACGGTAATCAACGTCATTTATACAGATACTCAGCGATTAGCCAGACTTGAGGGGAAAAGCTGACCTGCATTTCTATGCTTTGCGAGGCATCGCGACATTTCGCCGCGGACAACTAGTCGCAGGACTTACGGTCGGAGGCATTTCGCCGCAAGGCCATTTCGACTCGCGACATTTCGTCGCAGGATATTTCGTCGGTAGGACTTTACGCCACGATACTTTCCGTCACACGGCCGTTTCGACGCAAGGAAATTTCGCCGCAAGGATATCTCGACGAAGCGACATTTCGACTATCCGATAAATAATTTACTACCGAGTAAGCTAACTCCCAGAATCAGTATAGAGCAAAATAAAAACAAAACCAAGCGAACAACCTTAGAAACCTAAGAAAACCTAAGAATAACCTAAAAACCTAAGAAACCTAGGGAACCTAAGAGACCTAAAAAACCATAAGAAGACCTATGAAAGTCTAAGAAAGACTAAAAAAGCCTATGAAAAACTTAGAACAATCTTTAGAAAACAGAAAAACTAGTGAGAATTAAGCGCGGTGAAATACTTTGCGGTGATTAGTCGCATCGTTCGAAATGTCCCAAGAGGAATTGTCCGCGACCAGACGTCTTGCGTCGAAATGTCGCAAAGGTAAAATGTCTCAAAGCATAATTTTTCAAACTGAAGTGTCCCAGCGTCCGAATGTCCGGCGGCGAAATGTCTTCGCGGCGAAAAGTCGTGCGTCGAGTTTGAGTGCGGCGAAATGTCACACTCCCAATTGTCCGGGTGCGGCTTTGCGAAGTGGCTGTGCTGTAATCAGACGCGGCGATGAAAAGCAGTGCACACCTACAGAGTAGTTCACCTTTGCGTCTTCAGAAGGCAGATGTCATACATTCAACATAAAGCATGACAGATGCCTGATGAAAATGCGAAAAATGACCAGCGTTCATATTACTGAGCTTTAATCATATGAGTCATGATTCTTTCCAGCTTTCGCGATGTGCGCCCCGCCGCTTTGCAGTGATCCTGTTAGGCAACAGCACCTGCAGACAGATTAACCCTAACAGGTCCTGCTGGAGCCGGGGATAATCCATCCGCAGATACCCGGTACTATGATATTACATCCGCAGATCATTATCAGTACGCGGTGGTAACCCACCTAAAATTATGTGAAGATCAGCCAATAGCCATATTTAGTAGTGGGAAATGCTATGAACGGTATCATGGGCGATTCGCTAACCGGGATCCATTACTAGATCGTATCCCGGATCCATTCCATCCCGGATCCATTACTTGTGCAACTTTGGAACCGTGTCCATTGGTACTCACCGGGCGATTCGCTAACCCGTAGGGGCGATTCGCGAACCTTTTAATTTTACCACAAATTAGTTGTGGTATATGCAAAAAATAAAAAGTACACTTTTTTGGTGCGCCAGAGCCGCTGACTGAAAAATGGATGAGCTCGTCATTACTACATAACAAACGTAATCAGTCGGCAGCAATTTATCGAGGGTACTATCATACGCGCCTAGCGAAGCTGAAATTCCCTGACGAGCGGGGCATATTTCCTTAATTGGCCTACAAAATAGCTTTTGAGTTTTGACGAACATAATCACGAAGGCAACGAGGAGGAATGTCGGAAGCACGTACTGTGACAAGAAAGGAACCAGATGCTCCTTGGATCACCGCGGTCATCTGTCGGCAAAGCTGATCAATCCTCGTAGACAAATGTATCTGGACATCACAACTAATATCCTCCTAGCTACTTTCCAACTAAAAGACGGCAACATCACGGACATGGAGTTTGTTTCCCAATTAATGGACCCACACGTAGCTAACTTTGAATAGTTTAGGATCGGTTGGAGTCATAACTTTGGCTGCACTAATTATGTCATAAAGAACCCTAGTCATAAGTAAAATGTTGATGATTGTTGATAAATGTATGTTCATCGCGTAGCGACATCAAAATATGTTTTGGTTGATTACATTAATAAGTGAAACAAACATATAAAATAATGTTGTACGGGAAAGGTTCGCGAATCGTCCGTGTTCCACCGGTTTGCGAATCGTCCGTGTTCCACCGGTTTGCGAATCGACCGGTTACTTGCGTAAAGTGAACAGCGAAAAATACAATCCGCCGTTATCATTTTAAAGCCATTGCGCACTATTATTCACGAATCGCCCTCTGAACCCTATGAACATCAGGCTATATGACATGATTGCCCCTAAAGCCCGTCACATAGCCCATAAATTCTCTGTATGTCTCCATACACTTCTTGGATGCACCGGTGCGGAAGACCGTCCCCGTTGATTCCGATGTGCCATGGTCCGCTTTTCACACGGTCAAGTGTCCCAGATGCGCGGGTACAGAAAAATTGTATTCCGGCCCCAGTGGCTTCGTATGCTAGAAGCACCATTGCAGGCATACTTATTTGGCAGCAATTAAGTATGTCTACCTGTGCTAAAATTACAAATTAACTATTCCAATGTACGATTGCAATTGTATTTAAGTAACTCCACCAGGGGTTTGAGAATGCTGAATGCAATCCTAATCAGGTATAATTCTCTCTTATCGCACGCAGACAGCAGTTCCATTGCTTATCACGCTTATTGGCTAACGGCGGGACAGCTATTCTGAACGTTTATCATTACCGGTACTTCGAGTATGCTCGTCAGGTGAATTCCGTACTGAGGGTGATCAACTGATATCGTTATGAACGATTGTATAAGTTATGGATGCAAACCCCCCTTAACCTATAATATTATCTCATCATAGTCTTCCAAATGGTTTAACGATAAAATTGGTTTGAGTGAGTTGTCATGCCTACCTTTCTACAGAAATACTGAACAAGCTTCCTGTAAATTTTATACGGTATGCGTGGTATACCTCGTATAACTGCAGGCCAGTGAAAGATACAGTGTTATTGCGCTGCACAAAAGGGATTAACGAGCAAGATACCGTACTTACGTCGGAAAACCGTACTTACGCCGCAAACATTCGATACGAGAGTGAGAACTACGTGCAAAGTGAACATCGCAACGGCAGTCTCATAAGAAATACTGCTCGGCCAATGCAGTACTTCATTATCGTACTAGTAATTTACTGTTGTATGTGTTCATTGTGCTTTACATTTTTATCTCGGGACAACTTCTAAACCGTTTCGCAACAACTACAGTAATCTATTCTTACATATTGTCTTCCAGCTCAAACCGATAAGCGTTTGCACAACGTTATCGCTTGCGGAATTATTCTTATGCTATGGGGCATTTTAGTCGAGTAAACAGCACCAACTATACAAATGTGCACTATACTTTGACTGCAGTCTGCATTTGAACAAATTTTAGTTTGCATCGTCCGTTTTAATCCACTTAACGGCGGTCAAAATCTATTAGTTTCTTTATAGTTTATACTACTGAAGCGTTGCTGCAGCGCACGGCGGGTTGAGTTGGCATAATATAGCATAATATAAGAATTCGCTTGAACTTACCCTTTAACCCTTAAAATCATGAGCTGCACTCATCAACCGCAACGAGACGATTCGGTAGAATTTTTTTATTTGCTAACATTTTGTAGATTAAGTTCTGCGTGCTACAAATCCACGTAACATGGTTACGGCCTTGTGTTTGCACTGTTTAAAAAGTTGTAATATGGCCATCGCCCTACTCAAGGGGCTTCACTGTATTGTATAGGATACATGTATAAAGTGAATTGTATACAGTGAATTGTAGTGTATACAGTGAAGATACATGGTATCTGTATGTAATACAATACAACCCCTAGAGAACCGCGTTGATATGGCTTACGCGAGTTAGAGAAAAGAGATTTATAAAGATAAATACACATTAGGGTAATCTGTCAAGTGCCTGGTGGTAGTACATCTAGTTTTCACGATGTGCATCCTTGGACTACAGCTGTATCCTGAATTCATACGTGACGGTACCGGTTCTTGCAGTCTGTGTTATGCTTTGCGTATGCAGCATATCAGCAAGTCGACTTTTCTTCGTCAGAATATGAGTGTCGGCCCCTGGGAGTTGGGACAGTGTGATATCAGCATGGAATCACCCTTCTAGTTCAGCTAATAACGACAGGCGCCAGCAAATATCTCAGCTACCACGATTCTCCTATCCCCAATCGCTGTGGGTGACGCGAGCACGGTGGTAACCGTTAGCGGAAGCGCCATCTTGGCGGTGACCATCTGTTGCTCGCTGTACGTCAACGGCCGCTGGGAACGTTTGGCCAGGCAGTATCGCATTCTTCACTGTCAACGGCTGACCGAGGTGTTTTGTTACACCGGATACGACTTACCATCGTGCATCGGGACGGTACTGCGCTATCTTCTGTTCCTGATTCGATTAGATTGCACTGCAACGTTGTGTCTGCTGGTGTGCGCATTAACGGTCGTGCTCGAAACGGTAACAGTCGTGGTGGCCGTCGCAAGCACTGCGGGCGCGGGCACGGTGTTTCCATGCTGTTTTGTTTGTTTATTTGTTTACTCAGTTAAACGTCTACAACCATCAAGGATTGCTCCTGCATAAGGTGGTAGACTACCGATAAAAAGAAAGAAACCACTCAACAAAAACCTCAATGAAGCAAGACCCTTCTTCGTTACTATCAGTCCCGATTATTTAACTTAGAACTTAGAAGCAAAAAAACATGCTCTCATTTTCATGATTTAAAATTAAATCACTTCTATCATAGAAGTGATTTAATTTAACATAGAAATTCTATGTGTCAGGAAATTTGTCGCAAACTTTATTTACTATAACACACCGTTACACTTGCAGTTGCCTGTCGCATAGCGCGCAACTGCCTGTAAGGAAATTGCCTGTCGCATAGCGCGCATAGGTCATATCATACCGGCTTATGGAAACCTTGTATCTGGACAACAAGCGAATGAAAGCACGGTAGCATGAGCGTAATGTGCAAGATAACACCTCTCAAGCAGCGGGAAAACGGACAGACTGGAGTAGTAATATTTGAATCATTCGAAATTGTACTACTAATTGTGATGACGATGGTGACAAATTCCATGGGCATACCGGTTCGATGACTATCAGATTATCGTTAGTCTTTCAATTCCATGAACTAGTGTTCTGAAGACAAGTGTGCGCATTAATAAGTTGCCGGTGCGTCTGATGCACAAAGCGCCAGCTGCGTTTGTCTTACCGGTTAGCGCAAGGCATGACTAACATCTGCAGGCGGAAATTTCAATCTTCAAGTAAAATCAGTCATGAGCGGATCCGGTTCACAGTTTGACACAGAAGGAGAACTCGAGAATAAGAACATTCAGTCTTTGCGCAGCACCTGACACATGCAGTGAATTGCTGCTTACCCGGCAATAGCGTCTGTTTTCTTCCTTTGAACCATGTGGCAAAGTGAAGGCGATGACGACTACCTGGACAAGTTAATCGAAGCTCTCAATATCTCTAATTGTCGGCCTGCTTTTGAGTACGCATTGGAAAAACACCTGGGCCAAGGAGGCCTGTCTCGTGGTGTTTTTCTCGCCGAGTGGCCGCCTGGCTCGGATAATGATGAAGTGCATCACCAACATGAGCGTTCTCGCGCCGGGAGGAGCTGCTTTAACACGGTAGATAATCACCGGACGGCCGAAGAGTACGCTGTGAAATGCATCGGATTCCGGGCTTATGATGCAGATATGCCAGCCAGCGTTAAAGAATTCAAATTTATTCGGCACCTTTACCCATGAAAACGTCATGAAGTATTTCTATCTAGACATAGCGCGTTTCCACGGATCCCTTGAAATTCGTATTTTCATGGAATATTGTGGAGGTATGGGGAAACTGTTAGTTTATTGAATCACCACTGTAAAATATGAAAATCTGAGGTTTGGGTTTCAGGCAACACGCTGCATGAGAGAAACATCGAATTAAGCCTACAGAGGAAGCGTTACAAAAAAGGAGATCTCGTACGCCATTTGACGGGAATCGTTAGGGGAATAGATTATCTTCATCAGAACAAAATTGTTCACCGTGACATCAAGGGCCAGAATATCCCTCTTTACGGTCAAGGACATTCCTAAAATTGCCGACTTTGGTTGGACGGTACAACTGGTTAGCCTCGCCAATAGCACCGCTACGGGCTCGGCCATCGCAGCTGACGGAACCTCCAATTATATGGCTCCTGAACTCTTCAGTCGCTGTTTCGGCAAATTCGGCCACACCGTTGACATTTGGGCGTTAGGTTGCTTAGTGCTTGAGATGCTGCATGGCCATCCTCCACGCTTCTATCGAAAAGGCACCACCGGTAAAGATGTGCGGCTCATGAAACGCTGTGAAATAGAAGGAGCGCTGGCGCAGGGTGAGAAACCGTGCTATGAAGATAACCTGGGACGTGATGGCTGCGGTGATGACGCCGAATTTTTAACACAAGCAAAAGATCTGCTTGATTGTTGTTTGCAAGAAAAAGCCAGCATGCGACCAAATGCCGCCTCTTTACTCAAACATCGCATATTCGAAGTGAGCACAGACTTTCGTTGCAATCTCTTTACACTAGGAATAACGAAGTTATAACAATTACAAAGTAATCGCTAGTTACTTCCGCGTTTGGCTTGACGTGTCAGGAAACGTTCTTAAATTTGAAAATTCTGTTTGCTCTGAAGAGTTCTGGATAGCGTTCGATGTGAATATAATGACGATTACTGACAATTCAAATATTGTACATGAATTAATGTTTAACACAGTGTCACAGCTACGCCAAATGCAATGCAGATCATAATGCAATTACATAACATGTAGCACAGTGTTCCAATAAAGTAATTTTTTGGCTATGGCTATGTTGCCGCAGCACAACAATAGGGGTCTGAATAGCCCTCAGGCTATTTTGCCGCACACTGCGCCGGAATAGCCAGTTGGCTACGTTGCCGCACTATGGTGGGCGTAATAGCTTGTTGGCTATTTTACCGCACACTGCGTTAAAACAGCTCGTTAGCTATTTTGCCGCACTATGGACGGGAAAAGGATAATTACGTATAAGGTCGATGCTGCGTGGACGGGGAAACACGGGTGTTGGCTGCGTGCACGGGTGACTGCACGGGCGTTGGCTGTGTGCACGGAGTTCGGGAACGGGTGTTGGCTGCCTGCACGGTGAGTGCGTAATGGATATAACTCCAAAACGGCCGTTCCAGGATCCATTCCGAAAACGAACGCGGTAGCCATGGCTATCGCATTCCACTTCCCGCTGCTTTTGGCATCTCTCACTTCGATATTATGCCCTTCATCCAGTTTATAATCTTCTTCCAATTTAAAATATAGTAATTCTGAAATAATAGAAATCACCCGTGCCCGCAGCCAACGCTCGTTCCCAAACTCCGTGCACGCAGTCAACACCCGTGCGGACCCAAAAAGATCACCCGTGCACGCAGCCAACACCCGTGTTTACCCGTGCACGCAGGCATACTGTAATTACAATGAGGGACTCGGTAATA